CCTTAGCCGGTTGAGCTATAGGCACCGAGCCTTATTAAGTCATTTGTACAGAGATCATGAATACATTTATGCCATTATGGGATTCAATGTGTTGATTATTTGCTTTCTTTTTTTTTTTGAGACAGAGTCCCACTCTGTTGCACATCACTATGGCCTCAAACTCTTGGGCTCAAGTGATCCCCTAGCCTCAGCCTCCTAAGTAGCTAGGACTACAGGCACCTGCCACAATGTCTGGCTGTTTTTCTAAATTTTTTTAGTAGAGACAAGGTCTCTTCTCTCTAGGTTAGGCTGGTCCTCGAACTCCTGAACTCAAGCAATCCACCTGCCCCTGCCTCCCAAAAGTGCTAGGATTACATGTGTGAAACACTATGCCTGGCTCCCTAACAAATTTCTACTCATCCTTCAAGCCCTGGTCAAACTCCTCTCTGAAGTATTTCCTGAACAACTCCATCACCCTTCTCGGGGCACTCTGTATGCTGCACATTTTCACACAAGGTCCTTTGCTTTATAGATGTACATGTGTCTATCTCCCTGAGAGTGACTTTCCTAAGGAGGAGTAGAGCTCTCACTCACTCCACATGCCAGGGTGGGGCTCTATAAGAAAGGCAGAAACCAACTGAGCTCCAGGGAGGAAATCTGCCCAAGGTTGAGTGGCAAAGCTAGAAGTAGAAGCCAGGGCTCCTGATTTCCAGGCAGTGCTCTTGCCATGCACCATGTTGCCTCTGTCACCCTACCCAGGGTGCCTCTGTCATCCTACCAGTGCCAGGTCTCTGCTGGATGTCACCCTCACACAGCTGCCTCTCCAAGAGAGAAGAGGGAAAGAAGCAGAGTATGGGAGGCCAAGGAAAGAGAAAGAGTGAGCACAGCTGGGCCCCTGACCTCAGGCTTCCTTGGGCCCCAGGCAGCCTGCCTCTGCCCCTCTGCCCCTGGCCCCAGGCAGCCTGCCTCTGCCACTCTGACCCTAGCCCCAGAGGACTCTAGCAGCTCCCCAATCCTGTCCATCAGGGCTGTGGCTGGGAGTGTGTGGACACTACAGGCAAGAGTCCTGGGTCTGACTCTATGTATGTTTGTGGACAGTAGTACAGACATGTATATAAGACAGCTCTCAGCTTTGTGCCCTTGTGTGACAGTGAAGGGGCATTGGGGGGGTGTATTTGCACCTCCACGTCTTGGTACACCGGGAAGTCCCAGGCCCACAGTCTGACCTGGGAAATACTCCCCTCTACCCGGCCCCCCAAGCCCCTCAGCCCTTCCCCCTAACTTGTGCTAAGCCAGGAGGGAGGGCATCTGCCCCACTGCCCTGCCCAGCCAGGGCCCTTCTGCTGGGCTGAGACAGTGGATCCTTCCCCTACCCCCATCCCAGGCCACACAGGAGAGAACAGGCTGTTTGAGCAGATTCCTAACTTCAAGCTGGCAGTTGCCCAACCTTGCACCAAGTGGCTGCCACACAGCGAATTCAGCAATGGGAGGCCTTCATCTCCAGCTAACATTTGAAGTGAGGAATGAAGGAAAATGAGTGGTGGCCTCTGTGGGTCAAATGTCATTTAAATAGTTAATGCTGGATAGTCTGAAAGGGTTAATTCTCACACAGCCCGCAGTAGGAGAAGGGACATAACAAGCAACAGACAAAAGGATGTTCCAGGACTCTTGCCTGGACTCCCCTATCACCATCTCCCCTCGGTACCCCATCTTAACTGGACCACCACCCCCCAGCCAGAGAAAGGTGGCCGCGGAAGGAAAAAGGAACCCGGCCAGCACCCCTTCCCAAAAGGGGCGGCGACGCGGGCCCCGGACGTCCTACCTCTCGGCCTGGGCGGCGCTGTCCCCGCCTCGCCGGGGCTCCGGGCTGGCCATGGCTGCGCGACCCCAGGCTTGGCCGCTGCGTTATTAATAGCCGGCCCCGCGGGCGGCCGGCTCTGGCGCCCGCGCCCGCTGCACTGCCAGCTGCAGCCGACACCGGATCCCCGCCGGCCCAAGGCCGGGCGCACCCACTTGGCCCCAGCTCCTGCCACGGGAGGAGGGAGCGGCCGCGCGGCCCTGGGGGCGGGGAGAGGCCGCCCCTCCCCGGCCTGGCCAGGCATAGGGGTGGGAGTGAAGGGGGGACAGTTTAGCGGCGGTTCCAAAACCAGCTAGCCCAAGATCTTCCCAAACCTTCCTTATCTCCACCCTTCCTTTCCCGGGATCCCGGTGGCAGGGGAAGAAGGGCGTTCTGCAGCCTCTAGAGAGAAGGCTAGAGTCCAGACGTCGGGGGGCGGGGTGCTCAAGAGAGCCCTTGCCTGCAAGTATTTGGGTGTATCCACCTCGGCTTTGCGCCCTCCGATCACCACCTGAGCGGTGGGGAGGAGCGTGGTCACCCTCGGGCGCTCCCAGTGCTGTGCCCAGCAGCTGTCCTGAAGGGTTAGGGCAGTGCATGGCTGAGGGTTATGGCCACACCCCACGCGTTGGGGACAGCCTAGGGCCCAACCCGTGGCTAGGGTTAAGGAAGGACAGTGAGCGGGCTGCAGAGGGGCTTATGCCTGAAAGGTTGAGTCCATATTTAATGTTTGCCCCACCCTTCCAGGTTCCCTGGGGTCTCTCCCCTGCTCCACCTGTTACCCCCACTCAGCTTGGCTTCTGTCAACTTCAAAGCATAACCCCTGGCTCAAGTCTCAGCCCACCTGTGTCAGAGTCAGACGTCAACACTGAAACCCTCCTCCACAAGTGTGAACAAGCTGCTGGGCCTCTTCCCAGACCTGGGCCACAGACGTCCCTCCTCTGAGTCTTTTTTTCCACTTAGCCCCTCTGTCTGGGGAGATCTTTGACTCAATCGCACAAGAATGCCATGCACTGTAACAAGCTCCAGAGCCTGGATCTTCAGTTTTATCTGAGAGGCCTTGAGCCTGGGGTGGGGGTGGGGTAATCATGCCATGGTGTTGAATGTGTGTGTACTTGTACTTGTGATCAGTGTCCTCACAGCTGGCAGTGGGAATATATCATCATGGTTTGGGTATGGTGTGTGAAGATCATGGTATTGTGTGTCCATGTCTGTGTGGGGGCACATGGATGTGTGACTACCATGAATGTGTGTGCCAATTGTGCCCACTGTGGGGGTGGGGAGGCTGACAGTTGTGACTGTGTTTGTGGGGCGTGTATATAGTCCCGGGGGTCTGTATGTGACTGTGTGCCTATGTTTGGGGGCTGAGCATCCATTCATCCATGTGTCTGAGTGTGCCGCCTATGGTTGTATATTTATATCTCTCTGTCTCATGCAAGGGGGTGGAAGATTTAACACCCAGGGCAGCCAAATACACCCTTGTAAGGTATGCAGGAGAAAAAGTCAGGTTTTGGAGGCTGCTGGTCATTTTTTGACTTATCCCTAAACTATTCCAGGGGAGGAGGTTGGCAAAGCCTCAGCCGCTGGTTGTTTGACATCTGCTGCCAGTCAGAGGGGTGCTAAGGGAGTGAGGGCAAGGCTGCCAGCACTACTGTTTGCTGTGGGTGCTAAGCAACGGGCAGCAAGGGTGGCATTCAGAAGGGCTGTCCTTTTGCTCCAACCCCCAGCCCAGTAGCTGGCCCTTGGCAGTCCCCCAAAACTAAATTTCTTAGCCCTTCCTAGCCTCCCCTACATCCTTTAGGCTGAAACACTGAATCCCTCCAGGGTCCCAAAAACTCTCCTGCGTCCAGCATTTTGTTCTTGCTGTTCCTTGTGTCTAGAACACCCTTTCCAAACCTTCATATCCCAGCATCTTCTATCCTTTAGGTCTCAGCTCACAAGTCCTCCCCTCAGAGGAGCCTTCCCTGATGCCCCCCAATAATGTCCACTCATTATTTTTTTTTATTTTTTGTACAGACAGTGTCTCTTTGTCACCCTCAGTAGAGTGCTATGGTGTCACAGCTCACAGCAACCTCCAGCTCTTGGGCTTAGGTGATTCTCTTGCCTCTGCCTCCTGAGTAGCTGGGACTACAGGCGCTCACCACAACGCCCAGCTACTTTTTTGTTGCAGTTTGGCGGGGTCCACGTTTGAACCTGCCACTCTCTGTATATAGGGCCACTGCCCTACTCACTGAGTCACAGGCGCCACCCCACTCATTGTTGTTTATCTCGTCACCCTGTTTATTTTCTGTGTTGCACTTATCACAATCTTCTACAACATTGTTCATTTTTAATTTCTTTTTTTTCCCTTTTTTTTTGAGACAGTCGCACTTTGTTGCCCTCAGTAGAGTGCTGTAGCATCACAGCTCATAGTCACCTCCACCTCTTGGGCTCAAACAATTCTCTTGTCTCAGCCTCCAAGTAACTGGGACTATAGGTGCCTACCACAACACCTGGCTACTTTTTTTTTTTTTTTTGCAGTTTTTGGCCGGGGCTCGGTTTGAACCCACCATCTCTGGCATATGGGGCCGGCGCCCAACTCCTTTGAGCCACAGGCGCCGCCCGACACCTGGCTACTTTTTTAGAGATGAGGTCTCGCTCTGGCTCAGAACTCAGGTTCAAGCAATCCACCCACCTTGGCCTCCCAGAGTGCTAGGATTAAAGGCGTGAGCCACTGTGCCTGGCCCATTTCAATTTCTTGTCTATGTCCCCCACTAGAGTGGAAGCCCCACAAAAGCAGAGAGTCTGTGTGTCTTATTTACTGCTGTGTTCCCAGGGCCCAGCACAGGGCCTGGCACATAGGACCTACCTAAAAATAGATGGATGAGTGGAGGAAAGAAGGATGGTCTTACTTAGGCCAATTCAGGCAACATTCGTAGCCTGCCATGTGCCAGGCCTGGGCCTCTCACCACCAAGGAGCTACAGTCTACTCAGGGAAACAGACACATACATGTGACCAGATTGCATACACCAAGACAAAATGAGGTAAATGAGGCCAAAGGATTTAACTCACTTGGCAAACATTGGCACTTGGTCTGTGCTAGGCCCTGTATCAGAGCAAATGGCCTTATTTGGCTCAGGCCTGCAAGAAGCTCTCAGTGTAGAAGAAGCTAGAATCATCTCCTGGGGAGACAAACCTACGCAGAGAATAATGCCAGATCACTGGGCTGAATGATGTGATAAGCATCCCCAGGGAAGTGGGGAAAGGGAGAGATTAACGCCAGGACTGAGGATGGCCTCGTGGACAAAGTAACATGGGCCTGAAAGAATGGGAAAGGGTGTTTTGGAGTCAGGAATAGACTCTGCTTTAAAAAATAAACACAAGCTTGGTGCCTGTGGCTCAAGTAGCTAAGGCGCCAGCCACATACACCTGAGTTGGCAGGTTCGAATCCAGCCCGGGCCCACCAAACAACAATGATGGCTGCAACCAAAAAATAGCCAGGTGCTGTGGCAGGCGCCTGTGGTCCCAGCTACTCGGGAGGCTGAGGCAGGAGACTCGCTTGAGCCCAGGAGTTGGAGGTTGCTGTGAGCTGTGATGCCACAGCACTCTACCCAGGGCAACAGCTTGAGGCTCTGTCTCAAAAAAAATAAAGAAAGAAAGAATAAAAATAAAAAATAAACACAACCACTCTGTCAGCCCCTCTGCACAGCCAAATCCAGGAACAGGAGAGACGCCCTGGGCTGGCTACTCTTTGCCTAACCTTCATTCTCAGCACTTCTCTGCCCTACTGTGTTCCTAGAGACTCCTACTGATGCTGTCTCCCAGGTCCCCTCACCTTCTGGCTTCAGGTGGGATTTGACCAATAGGAAACAGGTAGGAGACTAGGACTAGAGGAAGGAAGGAAAGTGAGATCAGGAAGTTTTATGCCTCTCATGCCCCTGTAATTTTGGCAGTTACTATGTTCCTCTACTGGAAGCCACAGTTGCTGCTGAGTGGACTATAGCTGTGGCTTTAGCTCTGCCCAGATCTGTTAGCAGGGCTCCCACCCTATACCCCTTCAAGCCCAAAGGTCTTGCCCCTTGACTCCATCCCAATATGGCAAGCCCCAGGAGCTTCACTATTCCTGCCACACCTCTGTGAATATTCCAAATAAGCCTTCTTCTGGGGTTGGCACCTGTAGCTCAAGCAGCTAAGGTGCCAGCCACATACACTGGAGCTGGTGGGTTTGAATCCAGCCTGGGCCTGCCAAATAACAATGACAACTACAACCAAAAAATAGCTGGGCATTGTGGCGGGCACCTGTAGTCCCAGCTATTTGGGAGGCTGAAGCAAGGGAATCACTTAAGCCCAAGAGTTTGAGGTTGCTGTGAGCTGGCAGCACTCTACTCAGGGTGACAGCTTGAGACTCTGTCTCAAAAAACAAACAAATAAACAAACAAACAAAAACCATCTTCTGGCAAACACTTCACTCCTGTTTTCTACTGAGACTGCTAAGATAGAAACTGAACTCAGGAAATCTGACCCTGGCCAGGAAATTTGAAGAACCTCTCTTTCTAAATCCCCACCAAAAAACAGAATCAGAAAAGTTGCGAACACCCAGGTGAGGTGGCTCACATCTGTTATCCTAGTACTCTGGGAGGCCGAGGCGGGTGGATTGCTTGAGTTCAGGAGTTAGAGACCAGCCTGAGCAAGACCCTGTCTCTACTAAAAATAGAAAAACTGAGGCAACATGATTGCTTGAGCCTGAATTTGAGGTTGCTTGAGCTGTGACACCATGGCATCTACCTAGAGCAATAGCTTGAGACTCTGTCTCAAAAAAAAAAAAAGAAAAAGAAAAGAAAACGGGGCAGCTCAGCACCTGTGGCTCAAGCGGCTAAGGCTCCAGCCACATACACCTGACCTACTGGGTTCAAATCCAGCCCAGGCCTGCCAAACAACAATGACGGCTGCAACCAAAAAATAGCTGGGCGCTGTGGTGGGCGCCTGTGGTCCCAGCTACTTGGGAGGTGGAGGCAGGAGAATCATTTGAGCATGAGAGTTGGAGGTTGCTGTGAACTGTATGCCA